TTCGATGAATGAATGGGAACTTTCAATTTTCCTGTTATTTCATTTTTTGGGTGCTTGTCAAGCAATTTTTCAATATTGCACTTAAACGCGAAACTATTTCAAAATCGGCCTAATTTGCTTGTTGACTATAGTCCTCATTAGCTTAGAGTACTTCTTTTTCTGAAGAAAAGTAAGTAAATGGATATGTAAATATTTCATAAATTTTTAGCGCGGGCGTCCAAACGGTAACGCGTGCTACCTGTTTGAATGGGTATGAATATTCCCCGAGAGTGCTATTGAAATCGCCCGATTTCCTCTCTTGCATAATTACAGAGTTTTTCCGGCGAACCTACAATTTATTTGTTTGACAATCGCTTGTAGATTAAAGACGGGTGGGTTCCTTGCTGCCTACCGGACCACCGATTTGACGAAAGTTTTTTTTTTTTGGTCTATACTTGACTTCTTTAGTGCTTGGTTGTTTTTGAAATGTTATGCCAATCTTTTCCAAACAACTCTTCATCCGTTTTACTGTTTTAGTTAATTTGGCGCGATCAGTGTATAGATATGGTAATATTTTGTGGATCCGTTGTGAACTTGAAACTTTTTTTTGTCATTGAGATTTGTTTAGGTCCATAATCAGAATATCCCTAGGTAAGCAACGAAGAGAATGCTTAATTTTCTAAGAAGAGCAGATACTGATAGGTGTACACAATTTTTTGACATTCTATAAAAGGGTAGATGTATCCCTTTGACCAAGTTCAGAACAATTAGGTCACTGGTTATAGCTTCCCACGCATCTAAAAATGTACTTTGTTCAAGCAACCTATTTCCTGGTGGTAACAGTGTTTCTTGTAAACTTCCTGCTTCCCTCTTCTGATTGGTGGTCTCTCCTCCCTACTTTTTTAAAGTGGTCCTTCAGAGTGGGCCCCGTTTTGTTACCCCATTTTTGACGCGAGGGCTCAGCGAACACCGAACCTAGCCGATACGATAACCCTGACGGTAATTGGGCGCGGGGCGATGCTAATCGAAAACATCCGGCGGTACCAGTAGGTGGTTCCGCCAATCGCACTTGAAAGGACTACGTGACCTTGCTTTGTTGATATCGTCGATATAAAAGGGTAACGCGTGTTGAAGTTTGTCTGGATCACATGATCCCGAGGAATATTGAAATCGAAAGATTTCACTCTCCTTTGTCGATATCATCAATGTAAAGAGGTAACGAGTGTTACCGCATGCGTGGTTAGTGTGATCCCGAAGAGTATTGTTGAAAATGACTACTCTTCTCTTCTTTGTTGATATCGTCAGTATGAAAAGGTAACCAGTGTTACCGCATGGGTGGATCGCATGATCCCGGAGAGTATTGTTGAAATCGAGTGATTTCACTTTCCTTCGTTGATAACGACGATATAAAATGGTAACGAGTGTTACCGTATGCCGTGGATCGCATGATCCCGGAGAGTATTCTTGAAATTGAGTGGCTTCACTCTTCTGTATCAACATAAGGCTAGCAATAACTAATAATTTGCGGATTCCTAAAAAGTAAGTGCTGTATTAGGTAAGTTACCTGATGTCTCCCTAGATGAGTTCACACTCGTCGAATCGCTGGATTCCAGGCATTGCAGTTTACTCTGAATTTTCTGAAGTCGTTTCAATTCCCACTTTTTCTCACTATTGGTTATTTTGCGTTTTGGCATTTTTAAGCATTTTTAAATTTCGTCGATTTACAAAAACACGACAAAACGGAATGATTCGTAGACTCGGCCGGCCGGCGTTCGGCGGAGACAAAAAGCGAAAAAAAAATTCGTTTTTTGCTTTAAACGTCGTGATCAGGAACATAATGAACAGATACTACAGTGTCTAATTGTATCAAGGACAAGCGAAGGAAAATTAAGAATTCCGTTATCACCGTAGCTTTTATAATAGACCTTATCGATATGGATTCTGTGCTGTTTTATATAGTGTATTAATTGTTCTCACTAGTGATTAATTATTAATCTAATAATGAAATTGTATTAATTAGATTAGATGGTCCATGTCGATTCAAATTCATCTATATTTTTTTGTCGCAATAAATGATTTAAACTAATTACCTCATAAATTCTTGTTTCTATGATCAAACTAAAAAAAAATACACTTTTTTGGTTAATGTTTGAAGTTAACTCTGAATTCCAAGTTAATAACTTTGGCTTTAAAATTAAAAGAATTTTTGAATATGAATTTATATAACTTGAGCGCCACCTACCTTGAGATTCATGAACCGTCTAGTTAATTATGTTAAAAGTGCGTTATCTCTGGTGCAAAGAGTTTATATGATTTTAGAACTCAAATTTATTTTTCGTGAGTGCCGTGCATAAATGTGTCAGTACCGTGAAACGAAAAATTTTAAATTTGTTTCTCGTTCGTGACGCTTTGAAGTTGTAGTAAAATCCTTTCAGGCTTTTATTTTTACAGCAAAATAGGTTAATAATATGCATAGAAAATTAAAACGCCTAGTTTTAAAATCATAGTAAAAACTTAACAGTTAGAATTTGATGTTTTTGAAATGTCTTTAAATTTCCCATATATTTTCGAAAACCTATATAAAACTGATAAATTGACGTCAACAATAAAGTATTTGTTATATTCTTGGTAAAAATCACACCCTTCATAAAAAATACTATATAGCGTACTATTGAAATGAAATCATAATTTAACTATTAAAAAAAATATATTAAGTATTCTACTAACGCTACAAAGGATTGGCGAATTATTTTTGATCAGGACATAAATTATGTTAACATATGTTCAGATGTGAAAAAACTGATCAAGCGGTCTTTGTCTGCTAATACGACAAATAATTTCTGATGAACTTTTGGTATAAACATTGAAATTGAAAACTCTAAAAACAGTCTAATCCATTACTAGTCAATCAAATTTAATAGTCCTTTTACAAAAGAAAATGGCCGGTGAAAACAAAATCCCAAAGTTGACCTTTCCTAACATCGTATTTATTGCTTATTAATTTACACTGTATTCTGGTATTATTATCGGCGTATAAAAATAAAAATAAATTAATTGATTTTTATATTTTTCGATAATTGTCTTAATCAAGAGCGCTGTTATCCTGTTCGAAAAATATTTTCGACTTAAAAAAAGATATCAAGCTACGGTTTTAGCAGGCTATTTAAGTTATTATTTAATTAAAATTTAATCAATCAGAAACATAGATTTTATTACTTCAGATAAAAAATACAAAAATCAGATCTCGTTAAACTATTAGGTGTCCTGTTGGGCATATTTGTTCACCCATATTGACCAAGTATTCTTATTAGTAGAACTTAAAGATACAGTATCCCCGGGTATATATCGGTTAAGATATGGGACGGTTCGGCTCATGTCCATTAAAGTTTTTTTTTAGTATTAGGATTTTGGAAGTGACCTTACTTCTTTGATCTTCCATACATCAACATCAACTTGATAGTTTGTATGTCACATAATCAGCAAAGTGCTCTTAACAACTAGACTTTAATCTACATGGGGTCCCGAAATTAGTGGATCAAATAACATCATGTCCTACGCCGAAAATAAATCCTAGATTTCCATAACGCCCCTAACGGAGCCTTATAACGTTAAGTATAATTCGTAATTCCGTATTGAATGGGAAACAATGAAAAATAAGCAATTTATTGAAACAACTCGACCCATCAATTTGATTGCATAATGTTAACATTCTTACACCCTGTCCAAAGTGAGCTAGTGTTAACAATTTCTGCCAGATCATTTTTAAGGAAATTCAAGTAAGTAAGTAATTTAATTTACTTGGCAAACTAAAAGAAATTATTAACGTAATTGATTGAAAACCTGAAGTCTTCTAACAGACCTCGGATTCTTTTTACTCCAGAAGTGTGCGATGTGAGTGTTAAAAGCTTTATCTCTTGGCAATGTTGTCTTGCAGACCATATCATTTTGTTCAAAATATCTTGATGATTCAGAATCCACTGTCAAAATTCTGTACTTCTAGATGATGATAGTTTCTGCATGTGGTTCATTCTAAAGCTAAAAAATTATTTACCTACCTCACAAAATATATCAGTAAACAATACTTTTAGGAAAATTGGTGATATTTGCCAGGTGTAATTATGCTATTTGACGATCTTTCTCCTTTCTTCTCCTCCGCCTCTTTTCTTCCTTGCGCCTGAGATCGATTCAATTTCAATTATCAATTCTGTTTCAAGGTCTACTTCAATCAATGAAGTGTGCCTATTTCTCATAAAAGAACATAACTTTTTCGATTTTATAAGAAAAAAGTCTAAAAATCATCCAACAACAACCAACCAACAAAAGTTATTGTAGTTTTTATTACTTATCCCGGCAAAAGTTACGCCCCTGTCCAAAATTTGACATTTATAATTTTAGAATAAGATGCCAAAAAAAAAACTGTTTTAGCTATAAAACAAAAAAAAATCATTCCTTTTGGCCCACTAATTTCGGGACACCCTGTATATAATATTCTGATAAATCGGTTTAGTAACATAACGAACATAAATCTAAAGAAATTTAAAGCTTTAGAGTAGAAATGTTACCTGCTAGTTTAATTTTATTTATTTTTTTTTCATATTTTAAGTTTTCATTGAATTCGCTTTGTTTCGTGCTGAATTAATCAGTAAGTTAATAGTAGTTTGTGCAACAAGTGCGGTAAACGGCATTTGACTCACGAGTGTTTAATAAACGAGTAACTTAAAAGCATTACCGAACGTGTTGCATACTATACTTTTTGTATGACTATTGGTTTTAGGTATATTTTTGTAAAACAACACGAATACATGACCGTTAGAATTGACAAACGTCAAATTTAAATGTTAGTACAGTGTATAGTTGGGTTTCTTCGAGAAGGAAGTAGAAAAAGATAATTATTATTATTTTTATTATTATTATTATAGTATTCTTTTGCAATTATGGTTAGGAGTCAATAAAGAAAATAAATGTAATTTAAAAAATAATTTATTTATAACATTAAAATATCTATCAATAAATATCAGCATAAACCATTATATTAGACTTCATAGGAATAAATAAAAAATAGTAGTTCTAACATATTGGCACCACTTTAGCAAGCTTTTTAAAACTAGATTTTATAAATTTCTGGAAGAAATTTGGGTTGTACCTATATATCGGAAACAATAACCATAACATCACATTATTCTACATTCTACAGTCGCTTATTGACATATTTTATATATGAAAGTCTATATGTACGTACGGGTTGAGAAAGTCTCTGTGCTTAGTATATTCGCTTTCAATTCAATTGAATTCAATTCCAATTTAGCCTGCCGCTGTTTCAAGTTATCGCGTTCAAGAAATACTTTGTCAACAGTCTGTACGACACTATCACACTTAAATAGTTTCGGATATGCATATCTGTGCACAATTAGTAAATTTGCACGTAACTTAACTCGTCCTCAGTTTTATCTTTTCGAGATAGTTGCAAATTTTTGACTCGATTTTTTGTTCTCAGTTTTTCCTTGGCTGATCGAGATATTTGGAAAGATCTCATACGAGGCATTAAAAAATCACAAATATTATTATTATTCATTTTCGAGAAATCGATATAATGCATGCGTTAAATAAAGTTGTACATAAAAATTACGAGACTTTTTCAATTTCGGGCCCGTGAACTGAAAACTTAGTTTGAGATGAGTGTCTCGTTGAATTTTCTTATCAGGAATCGGAATATATAAAATAAAAAATTGAGGGTGACATCTAAGTTTTACGAGGTTTATAAGGTTAATATTATGGATCCAGTTTTGACATAGTTTGGCTGCCATGTCTATCTTTAGCTCTATACACTGGCGAGACCTGGATATCTTGCATGATACACTGTGGAGCGCATTTTTATGTAGTATTGGGTCACACCAAAATAACCCAGTTGTTTTAATAAAAGGTACTTTATTCAGTGAAAAATAATACCATAGAATGTAATTATTATTTATTTTCATAAAAATGTTATCCTTGTCAAAAAAGCACTCCAAGCATAGGAACTTTTCAGTGCACACAAACAAATTCTCCTTGAAATTGAGAATTTTGCTTTTGTTTGATTCATTTTTGTTGTATAAACATTGACCTTTATTATATTTGCACTCGTGAAGATTCAAACGCAACTTTTTGCTAGAAGGTCAATTAAACTTTTTGCCTCAATATTACCGCTTGACGCAATGTTTTATCACCTTCATGGTGGAAATGAGAAACATTGACAACGAGGCATCAACCTGTCTTAATCTGTCTATTCCCATATACGCACGACCTGGAATATATATTTTCAGTAAAAAAACGAAGTGACTTATATGACCCTTCCATTGAATTTATCATGGCAGCCAGAGTGTTAACCGTAGATTTTTCTCAATTTTTCTTCTTCATTGAACTTTTTTAAATTATATCTTGACTGTGATATTTTACGAGACAATATTTTTTTAATAAAATGTCAAATGCATTTCATCAAAAATTTATACAAATGTTTTGTGTTTATTTCTTTATTTACCGCATGTGGCGGAGAAAACCAATAATAATGGTTTCAAAGTAAAGCGCCAGGGACTAAGTGTAGGTTTTGATTTGTTTTTGATCGAACCTCGTATGCCATCAATTGCCGCGTCCGCCCGAGGCCGATCAATACAGGTAGTTCTTGGGTATCTCATTGATGGGTTCGGCGCAGGTGCCCATATTCTTCAGCGTCACCAGCGACCTAGACCGACAATGTTCGATCTCCAAAAAGCAGGTGTTGCTGTACGTCTTGTTATCGGTACCGCAAACTGGGTCGTAGTAAGTCGGGCAGATCTTCTGGCAGCCGCGGAACAGGAACCCGGACAGGCAGCTCTTCATGGGGACCACGAAAACGTGTTTCCTGAAAATCGAGGTCGGAATTTTAAATTGTGTTTTGCTTCATCGGATTTAACGAATTGAGTACAGTATTTAATAGATATATGTTTATTTACTCCTTTACAAAAAATAGAAGTTTAAAACAAAAAATGATCGGAGAAGCAGACGATATTTTGCTTGTACGCGATAAACGTACTTAGAAATTTTTATATTTTAAAATTCACAGACACAAAAGTGTACGACAAGTCTAATACGGTCATAGTCTAAATTACGGTCACACTAAGTTGCATGCACTAGAAAGTTTGTGAATGAAAGTAAGTGACGGCAACGTTACTACAGGTAATTATTTGGAAAAAAATATTATATTAATAATTACATGATGTAATTATAGACATGAGTAGATAAAGAGATATTGATTATTTTAAGATTAAGCCATTAAAAACATATATAGGATATGGAATAGAAAACTTGTAATAAATATTGTTTTCTAAAAAAAATCTACTATTTTGCCAAGAACTGGCGGAAATCAAACTATAAATCTAATATTAAATATTAAGGTAGGTTAACTAGCTATCTCTCTACCTGCTACTCTCGTAACTCTTGACAATCCTCGTAGGTATATGGCTAAAACCACTAGGCTTTGCATTTCAATAATTCGATTTATAACTCCTTTGCATTAAGAAACCCAGCATAGTTGGGTTATTTTAAGTAAATATCAGGGTTTTATCTATAGTTAGGATGTTTTGTGATAATTGGCAGAAATATATCTTGTCTTTTATCAAAGACATATTTATTTAAGTTATATCTCAAGAGAAAAATAAATGGATGCTCAACTAGTTTTCAATGTGCTTGGTGTGGGGCATAGTTTTGAAAGTATATTTGTCCAATTGTTTTCTAATCGTTTGGTAAATTTTTTAAGCCCTAGTTTGGTGACCTATTGATAGAGGTTTGACAGAGATACAGACGATAAATGCATTGACTGTTAGAGTTTGGATACAGTAGAACATAATGTTTTTGAGTGCAATAAATGGGAAATGTATAAAAACGAGGCGGCGAGCAAAAGTGGACGTAAATTGACTCCAAACACGATTATTTTGAAATTAGTACCTAGGAAGAAAAATTGTCAGATTATCTTAGTTATGGTAAAGAGTATTATGTCCCGAATAGACTGCCAGGTGTGACTGATGTCATATCTGACGACGGTTCCGGTCACACTTAGAAGCTAACTTGGAGACTTTTTAGTGGGTAGACATGAAGGCACGGTACCACACTACCCACGGTGGGCCGGCGTGCATAAAGCAGTTCCTCTAAGCAAAAAATAACTAGATTATTTCTAATTTTACAATAACTTATATTTTATATTCTATCAAACATTAGAAATAAAAAAAAGCATTCAACTGTTTTTTCTGCATCCGCGATCTCATTCACCATGGAAACTACTAATACCTTACTAATTTAACTAACTTCCTTGCTCTATTGATAAAAAACATAGAAAAAGTTCGCATTTCATTTGGTTCATCATGTGGAATACCTAGGAAATTCTATAGAATATTATATCTCAAACTGTACCCGTAACATATATACCAGTTGTCATAACATGTATTAGATGCTTCCAATTTTGCAATACTCACCCGCAATTATTTTGTTTCATTTCGCATTCGTTCTGGTATATTTTATTGTCGGATCCGCAAACGAACTTCTTCTCGTCCGAACATTTTTCGTTACACAAAGCGGTGGTTCTGCAATGGTGTGGTGGGACCTCGATCACCAATTGTCCGCAAGTTTCTTTTTTCAGGTGACATCTTGATCTAAAAATATCGATTGATTTATACTAAGTAATACTAGTCGGAATGCAGTTATAACTTCGTTCCTTTTTACTAAAATTAATGTTTAATTTTAACGGTTCAAAGAAAATTCAATTTGGAAAGAACATTTAAAATTTTCAAATTCATATTTTTTATTTGGGATATTGAATAAGTTTTGTTTATATAAAAAATATCAATTACACCAGTACCTTCATCGATATATGCAACTAGAGATCACGGGTCAATGCAACGGCAACAAACAAGTTGATTAATAAAGGAAATAATTAATTTCGGCATTCATCATTGTAAGTGGCAAATAAAGCACAAAAGCTCGATTACTCTGGTTTGCGTCCTTTAAAATTGGTATGTGCGGTTAGATATAACTTGTAATAATTGTATTGTACTGGATTTAAAGTCCTGGTTTCGAGAGCAAGTGCCTGAGAATTAAGAAAAATTTAATAGCTATCCAGTGTGTTAATTAAATATGTGGCTTAACTTTAAGGATTTTTTTATTTACATTATTGTTGGACTTTTATTTTTATAAGTGTTTTTTTTCTGAAAGGGTAACAAAGTGTTGACTAGCGTAAACAATCACATATTATTTCCACTTGTTATTATGAATCACAATTATTTTGTATTTTGCTTTGAGGTTATACATGTTGTTGTTATATTGCAGCAAAAGCAATACACATCCTATTACATATTAGATATAGATATATAACATTTACATGAAAGATTTCAATTGAATGATGTCAGCAAAATGGCCTAAAAGTTTTAAGTGGCTTTTATCAACATAATCGAAATATTGGTTATACAATAATAAAACAACACCCTAAGCTTAAAGCTGTGGAACGTTCGAGTGATGAGAGAAGCGGGGTGTTTATAAAATCATCATATGCTATTAGCAGAAATTCATTTTTTATACAAAAATCAATCCAATGCATTGCTTACGCACAATGTCCCTACCAGAAACAATTTTCTTTAAATGTGTGGATGGATATTGTTGGCGACAATTTAATTGTTATTTGCTTTTTAACATTAAGATTAAACGGCGTATCTTACTTCATCTTCAACAAGAATTGTCCGTACTACCAAAAATCAAATCGTAAATGCTTGCGAAGAAATAAGAAATAGACCTGGAATTTTCGCTCCAATTCGTCGTTCAATATTTCGTCAAGTGAGAAGGTGTACGGAAATGAATGTTAAAGAATTTAAGCAGTTATTATAGTGTACTTTATATCATCGACGCCACTTTGCTTAATAATTTTAATCTATTAGTGCTAAATTTGCTTCTTAAGTCGTCAAATAACGTTGCCAAATTTCAACAGAATTAAGTACATTTTTTTTTAGATATTAATAACATTTTTCTTTTCAATTTAACATGAACACCCATATTCACAAAAACTTCTCTTTATATTTTTTAAAAAGCAATCGTCCTCTAAAATATTATCGTCTATTTTTCGAACACTGTATATATTACTTTTTACAAAACTTCTAGATTGCTCCTGCGTCGGTTTTTGCTGTCAGCTCTGAAGAAGCCAACAGGATGATTGACGAAACATCAGCAAGTTCGACTAAGCAAAAACCGACGCAGAAGGAATCCAGGAGTTTCTTTAAAAAAAAAACCCTCTATATTATATTGTGATGTATAATGTAAATATTTTTTACAGTTTTCTGATAATCGATTTAAATGTAACTTCCGTGGTGTCAAAATAGATACCTGTTTTAAAATTATTCAAATATAAATTCTGTGGAATTCGACGCGTCAAGTGAAAGATAAGTTTAAGATCTCCATACAAATCATTTTGAAAATAAGAAAATTTGGAATTTTACATTTAAGACATGCTTACCTGTAGGCATTACCGTCACTTCCGCATACAGGTTCATTTTCGCCGGAATCATCACATTTTTCAGGGCAAGCGTCCTCTTCCAGTTGCGTGCAATTACCTAAATGCGCGAATTGCACCGCCTTCATGCAAGTGGCGGAATTAAGGTGGCATTGGTTCGTGTAAGTTTGAGCGTCCGTGCCGCAAACGGGGTCCAAGTCATTCGAGCATTTTATTTTCGAGCACTTCGATATGCGCGCCTTGCATTTTTCGAAGTCTACTTTCGCCACCCTGCGAATATTGCTGAAATAAATGTGATCTGATATAAAGGCAGTTTTTGTTATATACGGGGTCTATTAATTGGAACTAAAAACTGGTAAAACGCGAGACAAATGTAATTTAGTTTTCACGATTTTAAGGAGAGTGTCAAATACACGGTGTTATTGAAATTACATTATATAATTTTAAAAAAGTGTATCAAATACGGTGGAATGAAATAATGACAGCAAAAGCCAGGTTAAAAGATTTGGCCGATTTAATCATAGACATATATTTTGTCTACTAACGTTCTAAATGATTCTCGATTAATTCACATAAATTCAGAGTACAAAATAGTATATTATGCAACAAGTGTTTTTAAACTGAATTTGAGTCACGAGTGACTTATAGTATATTACGCCGTAAGTGCCGGAAACGGCATTTGAGTCACGAGTTGGTTTGGCACAAGCGGAGCGAGTGTTTAATAAACGAGTGACTTAAGAAGTTTACCAAACGTGTTGCATACTACACTTTTTCTACAACCGTTAGTACTTGGGCAGATTTTATCAAAACAACACGAAAATCTCGGGTAAAATCTCCGAAAACATCTGCTTGCTCCCAAACCCGCGAGGTAATATCCTGGAAATATCCGAAGTGAAACGGATCTGTGGGACAAGAAACCCACGTGGTAAAGTGACGCTTCCCGCACGCTAGATTGGTGTATAATTAGGTATTTTACAGAAGGAAGTAGAAAAAATAAGTTTATCAAATTGTTGCATACTATACTTTTTCTAGGTTCATTAGTTTTTTGGTAAAACTACACGAATACATTTTCTGACACGGCCGTCACAATTGACAAACGTCAAAATTCAAGCCGTTCGGTAACATCTCCGAAAACATCCGATTGCTCCCAAACCCGTCTCATAATATGGGAAACGAAATTTACTGTTACTGTTAACAAAATTTGTTTATGGACAAACGGTTCTTGATTAACATTAGGTACAAATATTGCTAAACACCAATGCACGAAAAATAGTTTAGTTCAAAAAATCCAAATTGCACCTACTTTTTCTTTTAGCGCCATAAAAGTATAAAAAAGTGATTAATCAATCGAGAATTAACATTGCACATTACATTATATTGTCTGATCTTGCGCATAAGCTTACCGCAGTGTTCTCTAACGGCGATGTTTTGCGGCTCTGTTTTGATTTTACTTGAATATGGTCCGGTCTTTAGAACGTAGATAGGGCGGTAAGTATTCCTCAAAAAATAATAAAATTAAACTGTAATTCACCGGCTCCTTAAAAATAGTTTTAAACCTATTTACACGTATTAATTGCTCTCCTGTTATTTATTAAGATTTCATTAAATTGTACACATGTAAATAAGTAACCAGTGGTAGTTTCATTTTATTCAGTAGACAAATTTAAACCAATCAATCAAAACTGTGTGTTCCGGGAACTATGCATTTAAATCAGATGTCAGCAGAAGTGCATTTATTTGTGCAGTATTTGTTATTCTTGTAATTTAGTATATCTATATAACTACAATTGTTCGATTGTCGATCTAATAAATTGGGCAATCTAAGATTTTTGTTTCTTGTTATAAAGAATAATCCGAATCATAACAACATATATAAACTTTACTGTTGGTTATAGCCTAGATAGTTTATATCAGAGTTTTTATCAAAACTAATATTATTTCAGATTTATTTGTTATTTTTGATGCAGTCACTACCCGCAGGATCAAATTTTGACTGATTAATAAAAAATGTTTTTCTATAATAGTGATACTATATTATAAATATTTTAAAGTAAATGGGAATTTAAACAAATTTTTTATTTAACTTTTTTTCAAATTTTTTATAGGTTCTGAGATAAGGAATATTCTCAGCTGTGCAAAGTTATTGAGTTACAGCGACATGGAAAATGTGCCGGAAATGAATTTCAGAAATACGAGATTGATTTTAGTTAAATAAAAAGATATCAATGAAATATTTTATGTCTATCATTTCAGACTAGTTTGTCCTTTTCAAAATCATTTAAGAGAAACTAGTATAGAGAGATAGATAAGCATTTGCACCTGTCAAAGTTGACATTTTTAATCCTATTTGGTAAAAAATTAGGTTATTTTTGAAAATATCGAAAATTTTCATTGGAGAATGTTGTTTTTTTTGTTTTATTTCTTACGAATGTACCAATTTTTAAAAAATCAACACATTTTGTCCAACCTAACATTTTAATCACACGACGAAAGCAGAATTGAACGATTTCTTCCGAAATAGTTGACAGTACTCGGTGTGTCTCTGAGATACAAGCAATCGACTATGGTACGCTACGGAATGAAAAAATGAAGGTTAGTTGGAAAACACGAAAAAAAAATTATACGGTTTCGTTGAGAACTGGCGCATTAGTAGAAAATTAAAAAAGAAACGATTTTGTCAATGTCAATTTTGACAGTTAAAGGAAAATATTTAAAAACATTCCCACCTCAGTAAAATATCTAATTATAAACCGATCTAGCGTGCGCAAACCGTCTCACTTTATCACGTGAGTTTCTTGTTAGAGATTTGGTAAACTTTTTAAGTCAAATGACGTTTACCGCATAAGACACTATTATTTGTTATTTTTGATGCGCAAACTACCCCCAGGATCAAAATTTGCCTCAATAATAAAAGATATTCCCTTATTATGAGGTGACGCTGTATAGGAATATAATATTTTAAAAGTAAACCAGAATCTAAACAAATTTTGTGTTTAGCTTTTTTTGATTTTTCTTATGGGTATATTCTCATAACGCTGTGAAAAGTCATTGAGTTACAGCCCCATGGCAAGTGTACCAATTTGAAATAACTGTAGTATCACCATCGTACTTGTATTAATATGTATGCTCTGGATGTACGTAAAATTGGTTACCCGCAATTTAACATTTTCAGTTCACACTCGCTCTTGTAGATGTATCCGTCGGAACCGCATGTGGGCTTTTCGATTTCGTTGGCGCATTCCAACGGGCATGTCGTGCTGGCAGTTCGTTCTTGTGCCGCGCAGAACGCCATTGGCACTTCGAACACGTGTTTGCTGCAAAATAAGCATAAGTTATTTAAAAAGCGCTTCACCTGGTTGTCAAGAAGAGAAAGTTGATCATGTGAATTCATACAAATCTGTTAATTTGTAAACTTGTAAATCACATTTTCACCCTGGTTTTCAAGACCTGCAATTTTGATTCAAAGTCCGCTATTCATATCCACCTGTGGCATACCACCACCATCCACCACCGTGGTAGGGCCACCATCATGTGGCGTTGGTTCAATGTCTACAGCTTAATGGCTTTAAGAGTTATGAAAAATAAGAAAACTTCTACAGACTGTGGAACTTGTACATACATTTTTTTTCTGGATTTCCTCTGCGTGGGGCATTGATTCTGACGTTTCGCTAAACATACTAGTGGCTTCTTCAGAATACTGTCTGAAAGGGGCGACACGAATGGAAGGGAAGATGTTAATGCTTCAAGAACGGTCGATTTTTGAGGTAGATTTTAAAAGGATGTTTGATGAGTTTGATAGCCTTTCGATTTTGTTTTGGTGTTATTTTAGTCCGGTTGTTATTTTTTTCAAATGTTCTCCGATTTATTCTTTGCTACAGCTACACGAGCTTTGATTTGATAGAGGCTCTTTGGAGTTTGAATTTTAGTTTTAAAATGAGTCCCAATTAAATATTTTCTAATTATACACATAAATGTGCAAACCATTACTAACATTTTCCACTAAAGAACTCAATTCTGCGGCTAAATATCATTACATTATGTTTATTGTTAGACTAAAGAAATATTATTTTTTCAATCTGAATCTCAATATTTGAACGGTCATACTCAATTGAACCCTTTCGAACCATTTTCCGTGCCGCCTCTTCTTTGTTGCAAACAGGTGTTTAGAGTATCTGTTTACTTTGGATTTTTTTTTGGTGTTTTAAGTATTTTCATGTCTTTCATTGATTATTGCATATTTACTTTATCTGTTCATTAAAGTAAATATTATTATTTAACGTATTTCTTAGTCCAAAGCATATTTCATATTATAATATGTTCAATGAAAGCAGAATTATTCTGCAATTGATCATAAAATGATATAAAGTCAAAATTTTTAACTTGATCTTATCAATTTTTTTACATCCTCTTGTAAGATAAAGCAATTGTCAAATTATTAATTATATTCTTGTGCTTCCACGTCTGGCATAAGTATGTATATACCCTGTATATGTATATGTATATGGTGAAATGGCACTGTGTTGCCAATAACCTTACATCATTTAAAATTTACAGCCGAAATCCACCGGCAAATCAGGAGATTTAAGTGATCAGTTTCAGAGGCTCCTAATTATTTTGAAATAAGTAAAATCAAGAAATTGTAAAATTTGACAAAATCACTAACTAGGAACTAAGCTTTGATTGATTTTTGATCGAAAATATAAAATACCAAGATGGTATTTCCGCAGTTTTGAATTTTATGTAACTGATTAGTAAATTGTGGACACCTTGTAAACCATAAATCCTAATTCTTAATAAGAAATTAGAAATTAGAAAAGAAGGGCGGTTATCAGATGTCCAAAATGATTAAAAGGTGCAAATTCAGAATTCTTAAAATAATCATGATGTCTAAGAAACCATTAAGATTAAGGAAACCCGAAACAATTCATCATGAAATTTTGTCAGGTATGCAAAAATGAATTAATAAATGTTGCATTTAAAATAAATCAATTTATAGCGATATACAATTCCGCAGTAGTGAGAGTTGCCCTGTATAGTTTCATATCCACATTGCCTTACCCGCAATTTTTAACTTTCATCTTGCAGACGTTCGTGTAAATTTTACCGTCCGATCCGCAGGCAGGTCTAGCATTCCTCCAACAGGATTCTCTACAATGTCTGGTCGTTTGGCAGTATTTTCGGTTGGTTTTGACCACCCCCTGTCTGAAATACCGTCAATTTTTAGTTCTACAGAAAATTAAGTCATTTTCTTTTAAAACGCGTAACCAGAATAGGAGATATTTATAGCGGCAATTTTTTTCTCTCCAAAAAACAACGTGCAATCATTTAATTATGACATATTAAAAATAGGACAATAGGATAGGATAGGATAAACAATAAGATAATAGACAAAGTGCGCATTTAAACTTAACCATGTTTATACAAAGAAAACAAATAAACAGTCCTTATACAAACCATTGTTATAAAATCGTTCTCATTATCAGAAATAAATATTATTAACCTTTCTTTGAAATTAAGGAAATATAAATCTTTTAAAAAACCTATTGCTAACTTGTTAACCAATTTTGGAGCTTTATGTGAAAAAGATCTTTGAAATAATGCTGTGTTATGTGGAGGTAAAAGTTGCAAATGTTGTTTTTTGTTTTAGTAGCTCCTTAAGAGATACAAGCTTTTTAGACAAATAAGATGTCTAATTGGATTTTACTGTTTTGTGAGCAAGGTTGATTTCGATAAGAAAATTAAGCCGTTGATATTAAGTTAAATGTTTATACAAATTTAATACAAAGGTTTTAAGGGCATTTTTATAAACCAAAAACCAGTCTGTTTTTCCCCAGAATATTTGCCGTAATTGCTTTCCTTTCGAGATAGAGGGTGTTTTAGAAAAAAAATCTTTCAATTAATTACTCAAATACCTCGAATAAATAATTTAAGGCTAATTAGGAATAAATAATGCCCCTTAGAACCGGAAAAAAGCGTACCCACTTTTATGAATATTATTTTTATCAAGGATGTGTCTCTCCCACAGAACGGAACCTTGGAACTGAACAATATTCAAGAAATCCTTTAGTGTCAGGAATATGATTATCTGGGCACTACATTTGACAGCATGGGGACAGCCAAAAATGTAATCGGAGCTCTGAACCGAATACCATGGAGAAAAGAAATAACCAGGAAACGAAAATTTAATATCTATGAATTAATGGAATTAAGAAAAAGTTTAGACAGTTGAAATGGATGTAATTAGCAGATCTATGTGCATTTCACGAAGAGAAAGAATAAGAAACGATATAAAACAACGGATGAGAATAGAAGACACGATAAATATCAAAAAGAAGCAACTTATATGGTAGTGGAAAAAATGTTAAATCTGCAGTGGCCTCAAAGAATATTCTATTGGCAACCAATAGGCAGAAGAGAAAGAGGGATGCCAAAACTAGAGTGGCAGAAAACCATCCATAAATGCACAAATGCATGAAAATATGTGTGCCAGAGTAGGATCGGTTTCCTGACGTTTCGCCAAAATTTCTTTTAGCATCTTCAGAGGCTACGCATAATTTATTCAACAGTTTTAAATTTTTACCTTACAAAGGTCTCCACAGACGGATGTAAGTCTCAATGTGTGGATGTTTCAGAAACATAAAAAAAATGTTGAGGCCCCTTTTGCCCTTTTAGCAGTACATTTTCTAAATCACAAAGATTTCAAGATACAGAATTAAAATTTTTAGAAAAAAAAGTTTTATTTTCAGTTTTCGCTGATTCAGAAACAACTTGTCACGCTTACTTGTCACTTATCCGCATTTGATGTTACGTTAATTAATGAACGTTCATCAGCAACATGCAGCATTCTGTGTTTGAGTAAAATTTGGTTCGTAGGACATCTGATTGCAGAATACTGCAACGTATCCTTTAATCGTTTTTTTCACATTGTTTCTATGAACTCTGCGTTTTTAACTACCTAATCATGCATCTGTTACTTTTTAAAATTAATGTTTTTTTTTACGTTCATGTGTTCTTTATGCGGCACTTCATATATAGCTTCCCATGTTTACATAATGATTCTGCCCATATTGCAGCGGTAAATTTCAAATCTTGTTAGATTCGTCCAGTCGCTCAATATCTTAGGGTTGTAGTTAATCGTTAGTGTACACTTATTGTCGGTTTCATGATTGTATTGTGATGTATCAATAGATTTATCATCTTCAATACTAGCGAATAAGTGTCGATTCTCAGTTCTGCCAATGGGATAATGCGGAAAAACATTTATCGCTGCAGAAGTCAATTTTTGCATCACCTGTGGTAGATTTTATTTTTTTATTCTTCATTTTGAACACTTGGCAACGTTGTCAATTACATCCTTGGACATCATTCATATAATAAGCAAAAACTGCGGATTTTGCACGCAGAATGAGCGCACGTTTTTGCATGCACGTTTTTGGATTCGCATACATCAACGCGGATATAAACGTCCGTCTGTAGGAGCCTTAAACACGAAAAAATGGAACGTTTTCAAAAAATCAGTAGCGTATCATGAGTTTAACTATCAGGATCAGCGAAAACTGAAAATAAAACTTTTTTTTCTAAAAATTTTAATTCGGTATCTTGAAATCTTTATGGTTTAGAAAATGTACTGCTAAAAGGGCAAAAGGGGCCTCAACATTTTTTTTTATGTTTCTGAAACGGTTTCATAAAAAATATTGAATATCAACTTCTATTAGTTAGCATTGGCATGGCATTGGCATTGGCATTTGGCCTCAGGCTTTTTTATGGGGATCATTTAATGAATAAAAATGGTATATTTTAAACATTTAGCCATAAAAAGGTATCCCTGTTTTAAAGTTATTTGAGGTTTTAACAAGTAATGCTGACATTGAATTGAGGTGGCTTTTTGATGAAAATCCATTTATCAAAATAAATAAGAACTAAAAGTTCAGATTTTCACGAAATTATGTCTTATGACATGACAATTGTCTCGACAACACCGTGTCTTTATCAAATGTAATATTTACAAAGTACCTGCTACTATATATACCAAAAAATGACCATAAAACCTTAATTAATTAATATTAATTAAATAATTAAAATAATTAATTAATATTAATTATATAATTAAATTAATTAATTAATATTAGTTAATTAACTAAACTAATTAATTATTATTAATTAAGGTTTTATGGTCATTTTTCGGTATATATAGTAGCAGGTAGTTTGTAAATATTACATTTGATAAAGACACGGTGTTGTCGAAACAATTGTCATGTCATAATATATAATATTCATTTTTTTAATTAAATAATTAATATTAATGAATTAAGGTTTTATGGTCATTTTTCGGTATATATAGTAGCAGGTAGTTTGTAAATATTACGTTTGATAAAGACACGGTGTTGTCGAAACAATTGTCATGTCATAATATATAATTTCGTGAAAATCTGAACTTTTAGTTCTTATTTATTTTGAGTAATGCTGACCGTTAATTTAAGTTAATAAATTATTTTTAGGCAATTTTCATGCGGGACAACGGGAACAAGGATTATTTCTATTGCGAAGTAAATATATCTCAAATAATTTTAAATTTATATTTAGTTTCCTAAACCGTTAAAGAAATAATAAACACATAAATTTTTGGGTCAGCATTTTCATAAACATATTTATCAACCAAACTTACGTTACTTTTTTAATCTGTTTCAATCTTACATCACACCGCTTCCATCCCGTGATAAAAGTACCGTAAACACTCGAAGTTCTTCATAAAGTTGACGTTTTAAAGAGAAGTAATGAATGAAAAGTAAGAAAATAAATTAAATATAAAGCTTGTTAGGTTTTAACCATCTATTTTGATTTTAAAATATTGTTTCTACTCTCTACTGTAGAATACTTATACACGAATCAAAAGTGTGCAAACTGTCAATTTAAGTCGTCAACTTTGTTATTTGTAGTACTTGGCCAACAGTGAATTGTAAAATACATGTTTATGCATATAAGCTCTCTTTGTTACAAATTGTAATGGATGTACATCGATACCCATGTGTAAAACTCAAAACATAGACAAAGACGAAATTATATGCAGGCGACAACGATAATTGAGACAGTTTCAAAAGGAAAAGAGGAATACCTATTATCTGGACGAAACTTTCGTAAATCAAGGATATATCGTTGGCTTGGCAGGATAAAGATTGTATTCTATTTTCAAATCATTCTTACTTCTAAATACGTTTGTATTTAGTTGATCCTTGAATAATTGATATGTTAATTATCTTAAATTATCTTATAATTTACTATCTATAGTAACTCCGCTTTTATTTACCAAAATAGTCTTCTTGTTGATTTCAAAATAGTGTAACCCTAATTTAGAAACGATTCCAGACCTTCCAGGTCTTAAAAACTGAAATACGGAAAAACTACCATAGCAATTTTTCTGAATTTTAAGTTGTGCACCCTGTTGTTCCAAATTTTCATTTTATTACTCTCTCGAATTACGAAACTAGGTATAGCAGACCAGATACACAAGTTTTGTAAAAAAAATATAACTTGTCGGACACTACATTGGTTGGATTTCCTTATGGACAGATAATATAAAAATATCCGTCGTTCCTCATTTGTCTTCACGATGCTAGGCTTAAAACGAAATTGTAATTTCTCATTACCCAAAACTTATTATTGTTTTGACAACTTCATTATGGGAACATGTGTCTGCCGCAAATGCGTTTCAGTCGACCGTGGCCAGTACGTCTTCATCTTTATTTCTCCTCTATTCAATTTGCCGCGCAAACTTTAAATTTCGTACCTCCACCATACATCATCTATTCGTTAAATCTTATATTTATGAAACTTTTAACCAGAGAGAAATTTTCGCTATTGATCGATGTGATCAATGATTATAGTATAAAATGTATTTGGGAAACACCATTCGTTTTATTATCGTTCGGAGGTTTATTTTTTAAAAAGTCCAAAAAAGAAAACTTAAAGCATTCTGAATTCTTGCATTTTCTTAATCTTATGTAGAAAGTGGCGTGTGCATATATATATATATATATATATATATATATATATATATATATATATATATATATATATATATATATATATATATATATATATATATATATATATATATATATATAGTGTTTTCGGAGCGCGAGCATTGAAGATGCCAAGTGAGATTTTGGCGAAACCTCTGCAGGATATATATATATATATATATATATATATATATATATATATATATATATATATATATATATATATATATATACATATATATATATATATATTAATGGAATACTCAAGTAAATCGTATTTAGCATTGAAAAAAGTGACTTTGGATTGAAAAGTCGCAGATTTCGCAGTATTTAGCAATAAAACGTTTTTCTATTGGAAAAATGATACGAAGTGGAGATATAACAAAAAAGTACAACACATGTCGGTAAAATTACTCTTATTACTTTAACAGTTGTACGATTTTGTTCATCTTTGCATGTTTCAGCAAATATCAAAATGTTCTCTGCAATTAAACAAATTTACAAAAACTTTTGTGTTAACAACCGGGCATGATTCATATGATAATAATAAAGTAATAATTTGTGTTTTTTGCCATGTTTCTAATCTTTAACATCTACAATTGGGGCATTTCCATTTGAAAAAATGTCTTCGAATGTTTTTTTAATGTAAAATGTTCGTTTTTGATCATCCTGCACTTATTTATTTTCAAAATATCAATACAGATACTTTTATAATGAAATGGTATACACAAAATTGGCCAGAAACGGTACGATTTAGGTCGTGGATATTATATATAAAGTGTTTCTAGAAAGTTCTGACGAATTTAAAAAATATATGTAGGGTAGTCTATTTAAAATAAGAAATTGGTATTGCTCCAAGAACGTATACATAACTATATCATATTTTAGGGTATAGAAAAACTTTTGTCTTTATGTTTTTTTTATATTATTTAGTTTCAATGATCCGTAATTTATCATCTCATAATAAACGGGTCATCGGATATATATTCGAAAATATATATTTTTGTGATAATCCTCGCTTAAATCTGAATCTAATTGCTCATTTTGAAGATTTTCATAAAAATGTCCGATTTCAAAATTTCCAACACATGTTAATATGTTTTTTATTTGGGGATGGTGAAAATAGGCATTATTGTTGAATTAACGATATATCTATGTTAATGGTTCTGTCAAGGTTGACGGAATATTGTTCTTCCTACAGACACTTTGAACTCATTCAATCCTTATGTGTTCAATGGTATTGGAAGCAATGATAGGGAGGAAGCCTTAACATTCTTAACATTCTTTGCTACTTTGTCACAGCCCGTAACTCCCGTTTTATACCAAAAGTCATCCATCTATCCAAATTAAGAAAACTACTGAGGTAATTAACAAACAGCGCATTAATATTTAATCGGTAAAGTCCGGAAAAACACAATAACACCCAATGCTCCCTCCCGGTGGGAATCGAACCCACATCCTCCGGCAAGTAGTTAAGGGTTTTACGTTTTTAATGAGTTCGATAGATTGGCGGCCAGACTATGCTGCTGCTATAATATAGATATTAAATAATAAAATATTTGAATTGCATTTTGAAATACCTTATGCATATTTTAAAAGCTATTTAGGGTGCACCGGGAGTAGTTTTCGATATCATTGAAACAAAAAAAAAACATTGCAGTTATGTTGGAAAATAAAAATTTAATCAATTCGCAATTAGCTACGTTTACGTATATTAAATCATATGCTCGGTGTAAATGACCGTAGAAATAGATGTTATGAGCTTATGAATGTAATATAGATAATGGCTCCATCCAACAAGGAAAAGTAAGACAATTATTTTAAATCCCATAACGCGTATATTAGTCTAACAAAATAGTTAGAAACTCAACGATACACGTAATAACCGTGAAAGTTTTTGCACACGCACTCATAAAAAATTCCCATTATGCCTACACTGTCGTAAAAAGCTGCCTTCGAGCTAACCACACATAGCTTACCCACAGGTTAACAGTTTCATCAAACACGTATTCTTGTAGACGTTCCCATCACTTCCGCAGACAGGTCCGTCTTGAGGGGCTTGTTTGCAGTCGACAGGGCAGTTCTCGCGATGGGCGCTGATGTTATTGCAGGAGCCCAAATGCGACAGCGCTATACCTACACTAAAACAAAGTGGTTCTTCAAAAAAAAAAAAAAAGATGAAATCTGACGACTTGCATTGATAACAGACTAGTAACCCCGTGTTAAGTGTGTTTATTCACACGACAACAGACTGATACTTTTGAATGGCAGTGCTTAATTAAATTATATAACGTGCCATGTGACATTATAATTAAGGCGGAGAATCCGAGAGAGTTCAGGGAAACAAGACAGCTGCCTCGTGTTAACTATGTAGTTTCCTGTAGTTAATCGGTACAAACAGCAAAGCGTATACTGAATGAGTGTAAAACTGTGCAGCAGGTATAAAATTAATAATAACGTATGTACGCGTTGTATTTAAACAGATTAGTTTCCTTTACATGGTCTTGGTCTTGCCATAATAGTATAGCGAGATGATTATTATTCTTGCTAATTGTGATGTTTTTGAGGTGGTTGCACAGTGATACAGATGGCGTTGGTAAGGACACATGAGGGGCCCAGTCCAGCCATCGTAATCAAAATGTGTCAGCCATTGATTCGAAAATATCCAGATTACACGATGGCTTGAGCACAGGGAGGTCCAATCAATAGGTTAAAACATTGAATTGCAATGTTCTAAAACCAATTCAACATATGTAAGCAATAAAAAACAACAAAATGTCAAAAAGGAAAGCCACACTAGAGAACACTTGATTGTAAAATTTCTGTGTGTTAAATATAGGAGACTTACCGACACATTTCCACTTGCAACATGCACCTATTTAAGTAGGTTCGTCCATCTGTGCCACACACCGGATCTTTTTCCGAGCCGCATTTGTGGTCGCATTTCGAGCCGGACGATCTTTGGCATAAACCGGAATCCGAAGCGAGGGTAACTCCTGAAATAATAAAAACTTACATACGCAGCAGATTTGTGTCTCTGTGACCCGGAAGTTGGATTCATTTTGACCTGTATGTTTCGATAGGAGCTAATCAAAACCTTAACCAAAATTGCGTATGCCTGTAATCTAATTTTGTGATGGCCCTAATTCTTTTTAAACGACTTCGCAGGTCAGTAAGTGACTTGCAAAAAGTAAATAATTTATAAAAACGCACTAATGCAAATTTGATTTTTTCTTAAATACTGCGTGCCCGTTTGCCACAAAACAAATTATGTGAAGTAAACCGCTGTTCCTTCACCTATACAGGGTACTGTGCTCTGAAATATTAGAAGCCTTTTTTTTTGAGTCAATTATTCTGTATTTGTGATATTGTAATCAATATCAATTATTTTTATTATTTTTTATTGAATTTTTTGAATTGAATTTAGCAAGGTAATACTATTTGTACGATTAGATATTCTGTGTAGGTTTAGAGGATGTGCTGAAAATCCTTTAACAAAGAATGAGTTAGATTCAAAAAATAATATCTATTATAATACTCACTGCAGCTTGGGCAATAAATACCCAAATTTTGGTAATACTTTTAAAATGATTTGATCTTTTTCTACACATTTAATTTAAAATCTCTTTAAAAACCAAAGAATCAAATACAAATATATAGAACACATATAAAAATTATACAAAAAGCATTTATTTGGTTTTCGTGAGATCTTGATTAACGCGAAGAGGTTTAGTTATCCGACACAAATCTTCGATCAAAAACGTGACGAATTCTAAACAAACCGCACCGAAACTATTTATTTTTAGTGGACCGGGTGCAATTATTATTATTACACTTAATTTGCGGTTTCTGCCACGGGAATTTATTTGTCGTTTCAAGAATTACTGGCAGCATTCTTCAGAACGTTCCACGCCAATTTGCAATTATGGGAGTCGTTTTAAAAATATTTCCAAAAAAAATTTTTAGGTTCCACATATTGTATGGGTTGCGGATTTGCGGACCGCCGTTTCAGTGCTTTTTTTAGATTAAAGAAAAAATTATTTAATGTGAGTTCCATTTAAGGTAAAGGTTTTGGCTCTACACCCACCATTTTATGTATCACTATTAGAAGTCATCTTCAAAATTGTAGTGGAATTGGAAGGCCATATAACAATGACAATTAATATTAATTTACTAGAAGCAGCTCAGTGATACTCTATTCGAGTACAGGGTGTCCCATCATGAGGTACTAATTGGAAGTAATCTTGAGAACTGTATTATAATTTGGACTCTATGTATGTTAGACTTTATGTATGTTGCTTTTAGGGAAAAACTTGTCCTGCCTCTAACATATACGAATATTAAAAGCATACAATCATCAATCAAAAATAGGGACAACCATGGTGATTTAGCATGACAATCTATTATTAAATAATATAAAATAATAATTAATTGTGGTCAATATTTGCCTGGGCTGAAATTTTCGTTTACCTTCTAAACTTATGATAGTAGTAGTGCTGTTGTTTGGTATTTTATACTTTATTGTAAATTATGATTGGGCATGTTCTGGGACAAATAAACATTTTTTTTATGAAAAACACCTAAAAACTGGAACATGTAGACGATGCACTAGGCTGATCGCATATTATATTTTTTATACAATTTTTGTCTCGACGCTCACCTTTTCCGCAAGTCTTCTTTCTCATTTCGCATATATTGGAATAAATAATACCATCCGAGCCGCAGACTGGATCTCCATAGGCGTTTTGAGTACATATTCTAGGACACGATGAATCTCTCACGGCGTTTGTTCCTGAAACAAAAAAAATCATCAGTAAGTTGATTTATCAGTCATCATGAATTTAATTAAATGGTATATTACAAAATAATCACTGATAATGCCATAAGTAATCCATATGCAACAATATCGATTGATCTATGCAATAGAAGGCCTTGGCAATATTTAAATATGCCACATTCACTTGATCATATTTGTCAACGGCAATCAGTACTAACTGATTAAAGACTGTAAGGTTGGCCGGTCGCCATAAACTCATGCCGATTAAAAAAAAAATCATCCGTTTCTATTGTAGATAACTTCTTCCAAGATCATGCTGCAATTTTCAGCGTGAGGGATCGGAAATTTAAATTGCAAGAGTTTTTTGTTAAAATTAGAAGTGTAAATTATCAAGGTTTTTGAACTACGGAATTTAAGGTCATATTTTACTTTGAAAGTTAAATCATGCAGTTTTCGTCCATATTTCACTTTGAATTACAAAATTTACTATCTTTTGAAATAAGTAATCACTACTAGTATTAGGTTATTCATAATGATAAAATTATTAGGAATTTAGTCAAGCATAAGATTAAGTTAGGAATACGCTACAAATTATCTTACTTCGTTGAGCAGTGATCTGAAAAACAGTAAATAATATTATAACAGATATAGTCCATAACAATAGTTTTGTTTGCTAGTTACTTTTCCACGGTTTACTTCAATGCCACTGCGACCCCTATAGGGGACACCTTTACTGCCGGGAAGAAGTTCAAATAACGAGGTCCAGTTAAACTGGTCTTAAATTCAAAAGAACCAATGAAAAAAAAGAATGTGCACCATACTGAAAATCTTTTGCTGTCAAAGGCCTTTAAATAATTCGTGCAGAAAACATTAACCTGGCTATTTTGGTCAGAAAGATAACCTGCAATAAATTGGGAAATGGTTAACAGATTGGATCAACAGATTTATTTTTATTTTATAAAATGGCGTTGTAAAGGAAAACTGTGTGGTCTGGTGTCAATTCTCCTTATTATAGGAAAATACTATGTCCAATGGATGGCTCTCTGAAAACATTTAGCAGCATTTTTCGGTCCGTAGTTTTCAATTATTTTTTTTGTGAACAGGTATTATTTCAGGTACTTAGAAAAAGGAAGATTCGTAGCGAAGTTTGTGGATTTAGGATTGCATTTTAATGGTCACCGTACTTCTGTTTCTAAAAACGATGTTATCGAAAGTGTACTATTTCAGCAAGAGGACACAGCACATTTTTAGTCATTTAAAAATGCTTTGTTAATGTTACTCTAGTGACATCGCCTTTATACTGTGTTTCTTTGTAAAACGGATTTCCCGTTATACAAAAAAAAATAAATAAAAAAAAAAACTTTACTTCCTCATTTTTAAGTATTTTGTTCAGCTGTATGATTTTCTATCAATATTGTATCCGCGATATCAAAGGAATCTTGGGAATTGACCAGTTTGTATTGGATGTCGACAGCTTGGCAAACCGACTTGCGCTGGGTCCGGCGTTCAGTTTTCGGACATCACGTCTATTGGGCTGTCCGACATTTCCAATTGTGGTGTGGTTGGACGTATGAGAAATTGATGTTTTTGGCGAAATTTTAAATAAATGCAAAAAAAACATAGTGGGATTTATTCTAAAACTGCCAATAATACAAAATCTTTGCTGGTTGGACTTGATGGGCAAATAATTCCAATGAGTGATCAAATAAAATTTCTGGGATTTCATATGGAACTGAAGCTAAACTGGGCTAGGTTGGGGCTTTGGCTTCATTCAAGACTGAGCAGTTTGTGTGTGTTTCACTCCAAACAATTAAAACTTTTTACTCCTGCTTCTGCTTTAGTCAGCTTTCTGGAATGTTCCATCTTGATGCTCTGTCCAAAAGCCTGCTGTCGACAATTTTTTAACCAATTTAAATTTTGTAAAATGGGCTTCCCGATAAACAAAAAAATAAATAAAATAAATTGTTGTTTTTTCTTTATCTATGGATTTTGTTGATTTCAAAAAACACTTGGCACTGTACCGTACGTTCCTTCTTGAGCTGTGTGATTTTCTATTAATATTTTCTTCGCTAGTTCCAAGGAATCTTAAGAATTGACCTGTATTAATCTTAATGCAGCACGAATAGCAACGAAATGCGCTTCGTGCGGAATGCCGCACAAAGACGAATGTCTGACGTTTACAGGAATATCTAAATTCTCAGGCATACCGCGCAAAGAAGAACAGCCACATTTGCAATTTTCGAGATTTCGAATGCGATAAGCTTTACGAGCACATATTTCATTTTTACGTTCGGCTAAATATGGATGGTTCTGGAGAAGATACCAATTAATCAATTAGAATTGGCTATTTATATCCGATAATTATTGCTGATCGTTACGGCATCCTGCTTAATAGGTTTTCAATTTTTTTTATTAAATTCACAAAAATCCAATATACTATCTATTAAGGTGCATTTTGTATCATTTTCGCAGAGCACTACCGTTGAATTATTCGCTATAATAGTTTCGCGGAAGTACTAGTAATATTTTGCTTTCTAAGGCCGTGCACGGCAGGCTGTTTATTTTATGGCCGAGGTGCACGTGAGGTTCCCAACATGCAAGGTGGTACCAGAGAGTAATATTTTAATTACTCCCAATAAACATAAATAATAGATGTGACATAAGCCATTTATATAAAAATAAAAATACAAAACAATCAAATGTCTAATTTTGATTGTTTCCGACCCAAGATTTTCCGAATACAGACTGAAAAGAATTAGTGGATAAAATAGAGTCGAAATCTAAATTCATCAAAATTTTATTCTATACATTATATTAACAACCAATTCCATAAACGACACTATGGTTATGAGGTTGTTTTGGAGTGTATAACATCAGTTTTGGGTACATTTTTGCAAAACATTAGAGTGTGATAAAAATTTCCATATTTCTTTACTATATTTAAAAGAGAATAGATATTCACAAGATATCTACCTAGTTCAGAGTGAAGTGCTATAAGGAATTAGGAATAGAAAACTGGGTAATTATTCAGTCTGCTACCACTACCAAAAATTTCTTAATTAACTTTCCAAATAAACAGTTACTTTCAATTCATCAAATTAATCAAAAATATTACTGGGTTCATTGTCAACAAAACCGAACGGGCACACTTCTTGTAGTGAAAGCTATGCCACCGGACTAAATGCCGCAAAATTCATCGAAAGTTCGCCGTTTTAAACAGTGTATATTAGCGGGTAGACTCCCGAAGTAGGAAAATAGGGCGTTTCAAGCGCTTTTCAATGTGACAAATTGGCACCATACGTACAAGAATAACAAGTTTTCAGCTTGACCTTACAAGCATCTCAAGTTACTTCCCACCCGGGCAAGTGAATACGGCCGCTTAATAGAATTTGAGAATATATCGCATAATTAATACCGTTCGGCACCATAATTGATGATGGTAATTTGTTTGGGCGGTGTACTACGCTTCATCACGGAGATTTATGTAAAAGTAAATGAACAATTTTACTTAATTATTTCTTTCTAAAAAGTGTTCTATTCTAATGAAAATTTTCCAAGAATTCCAAGTTTTTAACCAGGGCCGAATTTTCTTTTCCTAAAAGTTTACAAAAATCCAAAAATTTGATGGGAAATTAAAGTGCGTTATGATGCTTATTTAGTTATATCCGAATATTTTCATCGCTGAAACCACTTTTTTCTTTCAGTTTAGGTCCCAATTGCGCGCTCCATTTTGAATATTATTTGGATTGAATTATGCGCTGAGCGTTTTCGTTAATTTAGTTACTGGATGGGAGCTTAGAGACGTATTTTATCATTTGGCAGTTGTGATGGTACTGTATGTGATCTCAATTTGTATGTATGTGAATGTATTCGTATCCAAAAATTTTTTTTTAGTTAAAGTTTAGTATACGCGTTTATAAACTTCTTCCTACATTCGTCTATTATCGCTGCTACGTGCCAAATCAAATGAGTGAGTAAAATTGAGTTTATCGAACTTATTACGTATTATATTATTTTATTCCAATTAAAAATTTACTGGAGTCCTGCATCCGACTGGAATCCTGCAGACGTTTCGCCAAAATCCCACTTGGCACCTTCGATGCTCGCGCTCCGAGTGTTCGAAATGTTTTCGGAGCGCGAGCATCCAAGTGAGATTTTGGCGAAACGTGTGCAGGATTCCAGTCGGATGCAGGACTCTAGTCGCAGTTCAACAAGTGAACGGATGATATCCCGGAATATATATATATATATATATATATATATATATATATATATAATCTAGCAATACCTAAAGAAAAGGGCGACCTCATTCTGAATAGTTTTAACTCATTTCACACAAAAACAAAATTTACCATAGAATATGAAAAAGATGACAAAATTAACTTCTTAGACATGACACTAATACGCAAGAAAAACAAAATCAGAACGATGTGGTACACAAAAGATACATGGTCTGGACGATACCTTAATTTTCACTCCTAACACCCAATATCACAAAAAAAGACTGTTATTATCGGGTTGGCTGACTGAGCTATAAATCTATCTGATCCAGAGTACAGAAAAGAAGCTATATATAAGGCTAAGCACACTAAAACTAAACAATTACCCAAGTGCCTTAATTAACTCTATTTTTAAAAGAAGGATACATAAATTCTACAACAATATTTCTGTTAAGGAAAACACACAACCATCAAAACGAGAATATTGTTCGTTGCCATACATACCAAATTTATCGGAAAAAATGTCGAATATGTTTAAGGGAAGCTCTGTTACAATCTGCCACAAGGGTCAAAATTTGTTAAATAGGAATTTCAGTAAACTAAAAACACCAATACCCAAAGATAAAAAAAGTCACATTGTATATCAAATACCGTGCAACGACTGTGACCAAGTGTACATTGGACAGACTAGCCAACTGTTGAAGAACCGCATCAATGGTCGGTCATAAATACGACAAAAAAAACAAAACAGCCATCAGCAGCCATATAACGGAGAAAACACATACTTTTAACTTC